GCACTTTCAGTCGGGCCTGTATTTGACGTTTGCTTCAGCTTATTTCAGACCAATTCTTAGTCGTATTGGTGCCTAATGTGAATTTTCTTTCGCCAGCCAATGCTTGACTTCATTTTGCAATTATTATTGTGCAAACGCATATAAATACGCGGTACACTCATTGGAAAAAAACAATTTAGTTAACATATTGATCTGCTGAATGTGGCATTAATCAACATGTACGGCCGAAGAGTGCTATCTCATCACAAAATTAAATATCCATAGAATAAATTTAGAAAATTTGTTAGAATGGCGATTAATTGCGTCCATTGTTCGGCAGCTTGATCTTGCAAATGCTGATTTTTGAATAAACACGACTGTAGGCATATTTCTATCAAAAAATACCTAAAAGAGGCAGTAGGAGGTGCAACCTAACCTGCTTTGATATAACTGTATTCAGTCCAAGATAAAGGAAGTTTTAAAAATTTCCAAATCTGACTTCGTTTTGTAACCAATACACATTAAGTCACTAGCGGTTACCGTACTACCTGTGTCCTCATGCAGTCGCGATTCATCTGTACCCCTAACACATTATAATCAACGGTCAAAACCCATTACTTCAACCACGTCCATTTCTGCACATATATATATATATATATAACCATAAACAAAACTGTTTCACATAACTTATTGACCTCATAAACAGAATTGTAGAAGCTGAGTGTAATTAGAACCAAGAATTTTTTTTCTTCAGCCAAATTCGTAAACTTCAAATTTATGCCTTCGGGCAGTTGCTTTTTTTTGCATATATCCTCTGGGTAAAATATGCAGCCTTCTAAATGAAATGTGAAAGAGCTGTTAGCGGCGGTATAATTTCTTAGTTGTGATATTTTTTTCTTGCCCTCCCCTATTTTACCTCATGCTTTAGGCCAATTTCGAAATGCTGTAAAAAGTGAGTGGGAGTGTATAATTTTTGGTCAGGGATTCTGAGCACAGGATGCCCACATCCATCCTTTCAGAGTCCTGAAAAACAGACCATCGATCACTTTTCTCGAATCTTTCCAAAACAATCATTTTTCATGAAGACGTAAGTTTTTGTGAAATCATTTTTCTAACTTTTTTTGCATTGACTAATAACGACTCATCAAATAGAGATTCGTCACTTCAACAATTTTTAACTGCTGCAAAGTGCATTTAAAATGAATTATTAGGAGTGTCCGGAACGCCCGGATTTATGGAAATATGTTAATTGTGAAAGCAATACCAGACTCAGCCACGCCAGGCAAGCTCTTTATCCCAAGTTAGATTACTGATATCATAAAAACACAAAAAATAATGCTTTTTACGGTACGTTAGCGCCTGACAATGAGCCATCCATTACATCCATATTTCACCTCCGCACTTTCTTCTTACCGCGGGCCTTTGAGCTTGACACTTTTCCACAGATTTTTATTGCTCATTTTTTGCATCTGCAAAACAGAAATTATTTAATTGGGACTAATGGCCTTTTTTATCCAATTCATTGTTTAATCAGTTAAGCAGGATCTGAAAGCATCCTCTGTAACAGTAAATTAATCGCTGTGGAAACTGTCGTCCAACAAAACCTGAGTCTTTTTTCGAGATAGATCTATCCAACTCCCAGTGGCTGCAAAAGCTGCCGATTGTACAGGTCAAAATCCAGACTATGAGTTATGACTGTTCCAGAAATCTTAATAAAAACAAAACAAAAAAAAAAGTAGTAGAAGTAAACTAAAATAAATGGTGAAGTAGGCGAGATTTGGAGCGCCTTTGTCTTATTGAGGAACCTGCTCACTAGTCGTTTTATATTTTCTCGAATTTTCTCTGAATAGTTGCATTTATATGCTCGGTGCGCATATTACATTTCTGAATGTAAGAACGCGAAACAAATCTCAGCAAATATGTAACGAGTACGCCACTAGCACATCCAGAATCCGTAGCAATGGTAGGGAGACTCCAAATTTCTCATCACTGTTTTTTCCAACACCTGCTTTTCCTCTAAATTCATAGAAAAACTTTTGCAGTTAACTCGTTAAATTGATTGCGAGATTGAGCCTTTTTCGTTTTAAAGCGCAATATATCATCTGCTTGCTAATTTCAACCTTGTCCTGCCTAAGTTCTGCATTTTCGTGACGCCTTTCCCTCTCCTGTCTATAACATCGCGCGCTCTTATTTCTCTCCGAAAAACTACTAAGAAGCTAAAAAAATCATTGGCAACGGGTACCCGGGCGGGCCCATGCGATTATGCGTTTTTGCAGTATTTCGGGCTGTGATGAGATCGCTCAGCAACCCAGTAGCTAGGATTTCTGAAATACTGGTCCTCAATCTTTCGGGAAGTCAATTGGACAGTTAAAATTTCAACTTTCCATACTTTTCTGGTTCTTGAGTTAGCAATTTTCCTGCCAAGAAATCTCATGCGCCTAAACATGAGAACCACACGTGTATAGGAGCTGAATCTGATATCTTTGACTTTTGCGGGGGCTGGGAACATACCTTCAAAATTTCAGATCCCAGCTTTCTTGTTTTCCTACTTGGCCATTTTCCCACTAAAAATTTTCACGGGGTCGTTACATAAGAACCACACATGCCTGGAGCCTGAATTTGATAACTTTAAGTTGTACATGAACTGGGAACGCCGTC